ACCTTTTTTTTTTTTTAATTTTTTTTTTTTCAACGTTTATTTATTTTTGGGACAGAGAGAGACAGAGCATGAACGGGGGAGGGGCAGAGAGAGAGGGAGACACAGAATCGGAAACAGGCTCCAGGCTCCGAGCCATCAGCCCAGAGCCTGACGCGGGGCTCGAACTCACGGACCACGAGATCGTGACCTGGCTGAAGTCGGACGCTTAACCGACTGCGCCACCCAGGCGCCCCTTTATTACCTTTTAATATAACATGATTTATTTGTTTGTTGTTTGTCTCCTCCTCCTAAACCCTAAGTGTCAGAAGGGGAATAATCTTTATTTTGTTCACTGAGATATCTAAAGTGCCTAGAACAATGCCTGGCATATAGCAATGACCACACAAATATTTGTTGAGTGAATGAATAAACAAATGTACAAATGAACATGTAACAAAACAGAGTAAGTTAAGTTGTACCAGACAACAATCCTATTCTCTGAAACTCTCCTATTTTAAGACAGAGGTGAGCAGATGAGGTTTTATGACTTCTAGTTAAACACGGCAAATTGAACACTCACATTTTTCTTTGTTCCCTCCCAAATCCAACTAAAATGACGGTAAAGAAAAAAAAATTAGCCTAGAAGGACAAAGAGAATGGAAAACAATATAAACAGTAAATAAAAATGTCAACAGCATTTTAGAAATTTTAACTAAATGTTAAATTAGTTAAATGCTGAAATGATGAATGCTGAAACTAAAATATCTGCAGAGGAGGAAGCAGAGGAGGAATAAGCAGCAAGCCAATTCAGCCATACATCTGGAAGGCTCAGAAACTGAAGTTATCAGGTCCCTCTGAAATTGGGAGGTAAGGCTAAAACTAGGATTCAACCAGTTTATAAAAGGCCCAAGTCTCCTTCCTCTATCCTGTATGGACAGATGCCTATCCTTCCCTCAACCTGGCATAATAGAAGAGGTTTATCTCTAGAGGCACAGGCACTGGAAGAAGGGGATAAAGCACCATACCAACAGAAGTGGCAATAAATAAAAGTTTACAAATTGAATAATGAAATCCCAGCAGTTCTTCCAGAAATCTGGTGGGCAGTCTCCTAAACCCCTGGGAAGATTCCTCTCTAGGTAAGTTGGTAGGCCGAAGAAAAATAAGACATAGAGAATACAGACATTTGGGAGCTAGTGCAATATAAGATACTTTGCGAAGATAAAATGTTTATATTCAAAAACCAGACTGAAACAAATACTTACATAACCAACATCAGGTCTGTAACACGTATATGCCCCTAAGATACTATGTAAGACATCATGATATGGACCACCCTTAAGAGAGAAAAATGAAATGTCAAACTGTACAATAGTCTCTAAGTTAATTCTCAAATAATTAATTTTTAAAGACTTCCTAAATGACTAGTTTTAGTTAGTATATTGTATCATTATCAGAAATATTCTAAATACACTCTGCCAAGATATTTTCTCTAAAAAATAAAAAAATATTTAATCCTGAAAAAACCAAATAAACTCACTTGACAGATACAAGTTATCATTTTAAAGATTGCTAGATTTGGTACAAGATTATGATGAAAACAGATTGTTCCATTTCATACAATATAATTTCAGCAAAAGAAACCCATCAAGCTACAGCAAGTTATGTTTATCAATAATTTTAATCTTAATGGTAAAAATTTTTATCTCATTTTATCAATCTATAGATAGAGGAATTCCATGTGTGAAATATACAGTCCACACAAAATGTAATCATTTCTCACAAAGTACGTTTCTCACAAGCAACTCGTAAGCCTCTGCACAAAATGATTTTTATAAGCCATTTTTTTCCCATTTCAGTAGTAATTCTGGAAAACTAAGGTTTGGGCAAAAGTTCTTTACATGTTAACTGACTAATAAGCAAAATGTTAAAATTCAAATACCTTACAGAATAAAAAGTAAAACAAAGAAATGCACCTTAATGAATAAAGGTATCATGGGCTATGCTAACGGCAATGCATTCAGTTAGTGGAATAAAATAACAGAAACTCCTTTAGAATTTTCCCACTAGTTTCGGGGCGCCTGGGTGGCGCAGTCGGTTAAGCGCCCGACTTCAGCCAGGTCACGATCTCGTGGTCCGTGGGTTCGAGCCCCGCGTCGGGCTCTGGGCTGATGGCTCAGAGCCTGGAGCCTGTTTCCGATTCTGTGTCTCCCTCTCTCTCTGCCCCTCCCCCGTTCATGCTCTGTCCCTCTCTCTGTCCCAAAAATAAATAAAAACGTTGGAAAAAAAAAAAAAATTAGAATTTTCCCACTAGTTTCACACTTTCTATATAAAGGTCTCCAACTTTTATAGTTTGCCTTTAAAAAAATAATAGCTATGAATTTGAGAATTTGTTCTGTTGGATTAAAAAAAAATTTTTTAAGTAGTTACATGGCTGTCTGGGTGGCTCAGCTGGCTAAGTGACTGACTCTTGGTCTTGGCTCAGGTCTTGATTTCAGGGTTGTGAGTTCAAGCCTCATGCTGGGCTCCACACTGGGCATGAAGCCTACTTAAAACAAAAAACAAAAAACAAAAAAAAAACTAGTTATAACTGGTTAGAAACACTCACCTTCTGGAAGATGTAAAGGGATGGAAATGTACGGGATATGTCCAACTTAATTAATTCCAGACTGGCCTCCCGATCAGCAACAGATACACCTGCATTTGCAAGGTAGATAAAATTAAAATGATTACTTGACTATATACCCAGTTCAATCTTGTACACACAGAATAATCATATAGCACAGATGTTACTTAAGGAAAGTTAAAAGCTTCATAATCAAGAAATTTAAAGAAATGCCACATAGCTTTTACTAGAACTTAAGGGTTTCTTTTATGAAGAAAATATTTATATACTTATCAGAAAACTATATGAAGGATTTCTACTTCCAGTTTTTATACAAGGTAAGCACAGACTATCACTCCCACGATAACAACTGGGGAAAAAAACAAGTAAGCTTCAAATATCCCAAGTTTTTTTAAAAAGGCATATGAAAACTGTAGACACAGAGAGGATTTAAATTCCAGAAAGAAAAGAGGCTTTCCTACATAGCCATTTTTCTTCCTAGAGGCATATGCCAAGTCTGGGCATGAGCTCAGGACTGAGTTTGCCACACACAAAGGTACTCTGCTTGGGAAAAGAGAAACCTTGGGAAAAGAGAAACCCTTAGACCTCTTCATAACCAAATAACACTGATGTGATACATAGAATCACAAGGGAGTGTCTCAGGGGAGGGAGGAGCCTCTAATAAAAACAGAGGACAGTTCTTCCTACCCAGATATTTGAATCCCACAATGAATTAAGTATATCTAAAGCTTCAACCTTGTCCCAACCTAGCTCAGTTGCTGACTGAACTGAAGTAATAACCCAACTCCCTGACAGAAAAGAGCATGCTTCCTCTGCAGGGGAAACATCCACTTCAGTTTCTATATTATTCTTTATTCAGTGATTTACATATAATTGGAAATTTTAAGATATGCAAATAAGCAGAAAAATATGACTTGTAATCAAGGGGAAAGCAGCCAATAAAAGCAGACATGAAGATGACCCAGTAATGGAATGAATAAACAAGAATATTGACTGTTACATGTTCAAGAAAAGAGAGGAAAAGATGGGGGGAAATGTATGGGATGGAAAGATGAAGAATTGCCACAGAGAAATAGAATCTACGAAAAGAATCAGGTAGACATTCTAGAATTACAGAATATAATATCTGAAATTAAAGACTCATTGGACATATCTAATAGACTGGATATAGGAAAAGAGGGGATTGGTGAAACTGATTATAGGAATAAAAATCATCTAAACTGAGGCACAGAAGGAAAACAATGTTTTTTAAGTGTACAAGACTTGGGGCTCCTGGGTGGTTCAGTCGGTTGAGCATCGGAGTTCAGCTCAGGTCATGATCTCACAGTTGTGGGTTGGAGTGCCGTGTTGGACTCTGTGCTGACAGCTCACAGCCTGGAGCCTGCTTCAAATTTGTGTCTCCCTTTCTCTCTCTCTCTGCCCCTCCCCGGCTCACACTCTCTCTCAGTCTCTCAAAAATAAATGAACGTTAAAAAAAAATTTTCTTTTAAGTGTATGAGACTTGTAGGGCACTGTGAAGTGGTCTAACATACACATAATTGGAGTCCAAAAAGGAGAGAAACAATGTGGCAGAAGTAATATTTGAAAAACAATGGCCAAAAAAGCTAAATGGCAACTGTAAATTATAAACACACAGGAGATGAGAAATCAGTAATTTAAACAGAACACTGTTCCTTACTGGAACAATTCTTCACTTACATGCAATTAATTTCTACGAAAGTGCAACTTTTACCACTTAATCATGACAAAATGTCTCAAAGTAAATGCTTATAATTTTAATTCTTTTTTTTAAATTTTTTTTTTTTTTCAACGTTTCCATTCATTTTTGGGACAGAGAGAGACAGAGCATGAACGGGGGAGGGGCAGAGAGAGAGGGAGACACAGAATCGGAAACAGGCTCCAGGCTCTGAGCCATCAGCCCAGAGCCCGACGCGGGGCTCGAACTCACGGAGTGCGAGATCGCGACCTGGCTGAAGTCGGACGCTTAACCGACTGCGCCACCCAGGCGCCCCTATAATTTTAATTCTTATATTTTCAATACTTCATAAAAATAAATTCAAAAAGAATTATAAACAGCTAAGGCTATGCCAATATAAAGCCGCTAACATCTTGTCCTTCCTTGCACTTCTAGTTTCCCACAAATAGCTGACATAGCTAATAGGTCTCGAACATTACTTACGTGAACTTTTCTCAAAATCAAGTCTTCTCTCTAACCTTCTTTAGTCAATTTTCCCCACCCTTCTTTCATTCCTCTAAAATAGTACTCAAGGAATTTAACAAAGTTGTTTACATACTCACAGGAAACCACTCTGTAATGTATACCATTTCTCTATTCTAAACCATGCTCATTTTTAGAGTTTTACTGGCAAAAGAAAAGTGTTTGCTTTCTATGAAGTAAAACAAATATAGAAAGAAAAGTGACTGGCAGACAAATAGCACCCTATTATTCAAGGAGAAGAGATGGCTGACTAAACTTACCTATATTTAATATACAATGTTAACAGGAAAAAAGTGCTCCTGTTTTCTCCAAAATGACTAGGAAAAAAAACTGATGAGAGTGGAAGGAAAGATGAAGTCTGTAAGTTAAATGAACAAAGGCTATGGCACAATAATTATAAATAATGTATTAATTAGGTAGTGAGTGAAAGTGAGTGAGGAGACAGGAAGTCACAAGTGAGGAATGAAGATCATCTATCTTTTTAATTTTTTAATGTTTATTTTTGAGAGATGGAGGGAGGGAGAAACTGAAGCAAGCTCCAGGCTCCAAGCTGTCAGCACAGTGCCTGATGCGGGGCTCAAACCCACGAACAATGAGAGCATGACCTGAGCTGAAGTTGGACACCTAACCCACTGAGTCACCTAGGCACCCCGAAGACCATCTATCTTTAAGTTAAGAGTTAGCTTAAAAATACTTCACCCCATTAGTCTTACTGCTGTGAATAAATCCTGAGCTCCAAGGTCCAAAAACCTGGGTTTACATCACAGATTCACTGCTTACAAATTAACTACTTTGAGCCTCAGTTTCCTTTTATACCATTCAGGATAACCACCTACTTAAAGGGCTATTAACATTAAAGAAGATAATGTACGTAAAGCAATTACTACAGTTCCTGACACATGGTAAAAATCACACTGGTATCTTCAGTGACTGGATTTTCACCCAGAAATTTGTATTAAAAAAAAAAAAAATCACACCTTCTGTATCATTTTCTGAACTTGTTTCACTAAAGCTTTTCCATCGTTCTTTTGCTCTCGAGAGAAAGATTTCATAAAGTTCTGGAGGAAAACAAAACAAAAATTAATAAATAGTAGGAAAATACATTCATATATTTTAATTTATATTCTTAAAAATAAAGAGAAAAATCTTATTATAGCTTAGGTCTCCCTTACATAGCAGGCATCAAAAGTGTGGCACACTGATGTTATCTGATGCTACCAAAACTATTTATTACTACAACTGGAAAGAGAGAAAATAACAATACTGCACAGTGGTCATCCAAATAGCTACAACAGAGAATTTAAGTATGAGGCAGGAAGAAATACTTTTGCTAAAGGAGTATCATCATGGAATAGCAGAAAAATGATTTTTGGAGTCAGTCAGACCTAGATTCAAATACCAGCTCTGTGGTATTTGGGACTTTAAGAAAGTCACTTTGTCACTCTGGAACTTGGCTTTCTTCATCTGTAAATTGGAGAAAGAGAATGCCTACTCATGGTATACTGATGATTAAACAAGATAATTTCTGTAAAGTTCCTGACACCTCGTAGACTGTCAATAAACGTTAGTTCTTGCTTTCCTTCTCTCTTGAAACCGGTTCTCCATTATGATATTACTATCTAAAGCTACCTAAACTTCACATAGTTTGGTCAGAGGGCTTGCATTCAAAAATCTCACTCGTATCTTTTCATTTTAAGTACCCATCACTTTTTGAGACTGCCACTGTATGCTTCCTTACACAGGACCTTATCCAACTTCAAGAACAGAAGAAACAAGTTTTTTTTCTCAATTCTCAGATTTTAATTATCTTTACTTTCTGTGCTGATATTCTAAATTACACAAAAACAGAAAATTTTAATGCCAAACGAATAGCAAAAACTATTTCTTACCAAACACCAACATTTATATATTGCCCAAAATACCAAGAACACTTTTTTGTTTCAATTGATCTTTTTAAATAAAAAGTTTGTTTAAAGGCAATACAATGAACAATTAAAAAAATTTTTTTTAATGTTTATTTCTGAAGGAGAGACAGAGCGTGAGCAGGGGAGGGGCAGAGAGAAAGGGAGACACAGAATCTGAAGCAGGCTCCAGGCTCTGAGCCGTC